GGACTGGGGTAGCCGATGATTGTGAGTCACTGCATAAGTGTTGGGAACTATGCTACAAGAGCAGCAAGTGCTCTTAACCACTGATCCACTTCTCCAGCCCATTACCTCTTTCTTGTACAAATACAAAAATCAGACGTTTAGCTGGGTATGATGGCACATGCCTTTTATCCTAGCACTTGGGAGGCAGAGGAAGATGGATCTCTGTGAATTTGAGGCCAGCCTGGTCAACATTTTGAGTTCTAGGATGGCTAGAGGTTACACAGTGAGACAGTGCTTCAAGGAAAAAAAATCATGTTTAGAAAACTGCACTAACTGTGCTAGATCAGAGCCACAGGCTAAGTAGACAGTATATTTAGCCTTCAAAGTCAGGTTGTTGGACTCCCGAGTATGAGTTATAACTGTCACAATACATTCACAAATTATTGCTTCTATTCTATCTTGTACCCAGCACAAATGTAACTGTTACAATTTTGGGTCAGGAGGCAGGATCAAGAGGATTGCCATAAGTTTGAGGCCAGCCTGGTCTACACAGTGAGACATGGCTTTAAATAACAATAAAATAAATTGCCCTTCAGAAAGACTGGAGCAGCTGGGAGTCCCATTTACCACCAGCAATACAGAACAGCAGCCACATACAAACTGAGCATTACTTAGAGCAAAACTAAAATAAAATTGACAATTTGACAGGGAAAGCAACATGCTATCACTAATTTATAGCTTAAAAATAATTTCTACCATCTACTATCATCCATGTTTTCATTTTGTTTGCAGATTTTTGAATTGTTATATGGTCAAACCTGTCAATCTTCCACCATGCTCCACTCCCTTGATGTTATATACTTAGAAAACTACCAGTAATTCACATGTTTTTCAGTTCTTCACTTAGAGCCATCTAAACTTCTTGTTGGAACACAGTCAGTTAAAATTGGAACTCATCTGCAGATCACTTTCTAAAGACTATAAGCAGATAAACACTTCTACTTATTTCTTTCTAATATTTTATAAAAATATCAAAATGGGGAAAAATTTTCTATGAAACATTTGAAGCATTCTTCTGTGGTAATATATTATTTATGATTTATTAAAGCTTGCCTGAGGGTACAGAAAGCAAAGCTAGCCACAAACCATAGAGGTCAGGCATTGGTGATACACACCTTTAACCCCAGGACTCAGAAGATAGGCAGATAGATCTCTGTTAGTTCAAGGCCACACTTAGCTACATGAAAATGATCCAGTCCTAAAGAGAAACAGCTCACACAAATGTGATCTCAGCACTTACTTGGGATCATACACCTTTAATCCCAGCACTAGGGAGGTATAAAAGGAAGAAGAAAATGGTCTCATGTGAAGATTTAGTTTCCAGGCAGGGAGTACTATTGTCTCTGAGGATTTGTGGAGAGAGCATTGCATTCTGAGGATGCATGGAGCCAGGATCGCCCTTTAAGTCTGAGGTAGAGGTAAGAGCTAGTGGCTGGCTGGCTGTTATGCTTATCTGACCATCAGCTTGAACCCCAGTATCTATCTCTGGGTTTTTAGCTTTTGTGTTACATTCTTCCATTAAATTAAAACAGAAATCGCCATCATATTGGATGAATAAGTAGAATGAAATTCCAGTAGATCTTGGTCTTATGTCAATGCCTTCTTGATTGGGTCAAGTTTCTACAATATACTGTTACCTATCCAAAATTTGTTAAAGAGGTGTTTGAGATTCCCTGCAGCCTTTTCTGACTGCAAAAGTCTTCAAGTGTCTTTCATCACATTCTTCCCATGTTGTAAATCAACTGCATTTACCTCTCTGTCTTTACAAGTAGAATCAAACAAGGGGCACAGGAGAAACTGAGCAAACCTGTCCACTGGAAACATTAAAGTAGTAATTGGTATGTTCTCCACTAGAAAAGACATTTTGACTTCCATCGCGTTCACTGAGAAACTGACTATATTCATTTTCTTCAGGATATTTACCAAACAGCATATGTTTAAGTAAGTGACTTAAGCCAGGAATATTTGGAGAATCTGACAAGTACTGCTTATGACTTGTTTGTGGTGGGATCACTGATCTTGTAACCACTGGCCAGTTCTAGTCCATAATATTCTTAATAATCTTGGTCTTCTATGCTCTGGATAGAAGTATTATCCACTTTGCTATGGAGGCATTTCCCCAGTCCACTATTATATGTTATATTAATTATATCATATTATTATATTGGTAATTCATGTCTCTCTTTCCCAAGGCAGAGTCCCACTATTTAGCCCTGTCTGGCCTAGAACTCACTATGTAGTCCACACTGGCCTTAAACTCACAGAGATCCACCTAACTCTGACTTCTGAGTGATGGGATTAAAGGTGTGTACCACCTTGTCTGTCTTTATTGATTTTGACTTTTTGAGACAGGATCCCACATAGCCCATGTTGGCATTGAACTGGCTTTGCAGCTAGGGTAATCTTGAACTTCTGATTCTCCTGCCTTCACCTGCCAAATACTAGATTATAGTCATTTACCATCTAATCCAATATTAAGACTTGTTAGAGACAGGATTTGGCAATGATCTCATGGTATGGCCTAGGCTGGACCATAACTCATTATGTAACTGAGATTTTCTTTGAACTCACTGCAATCCTCCAGACTCAGCCTCCTAAGTATTTGGATTACAGCAATGAACTATCGTGTCCAATGCTAAGATTTTTTGAATATTTCAGACAGTATACCAAAATTCCACCTTATAGGCTGTCTTTTCACTTTAATCTTTTCACACACAAGTTTTATGTTTTACAAATGTATTTACTCTGTTATTCATGTTTTGCTGTCACATCTATGAAACTCCATGTCATGAAGATTTAATCTATGTTTTCTTCTAAGTGTTTATGGTTTTAGCTTGCACATTTAGTTCACTGGTTTATCTGTAACTAATCTCTATATATACTGTGAATAACAGTGGCAAATGTTTATCCTATTTATGTTGTTATATGGCAAACTTTTATTTGTCAACAATGAGTATAACATCCAATTTACAGTTTTAGTAAGTGCCCATAAATGTTGTGGAAGTTCCCTTCTATTTCTAGCTCTCTAAAGAGAAAGGGGGAATTATAGAGAGATGGGGGAAAAGGGATTTGACATGTGTCCTAAGGAAGAGAAATCTGTGAAAGAAGCTGATGAGGGATCTGCTTCTGCTAGGACGTCAATTCTATAAACGAAGAATGTGTTAGATAAGTTAAAGAGAATTCTAGCCATGAGTTCAGGACTTCTGCCTCAATTCTCATAACTATTATTAAGAATAAAACATTTCAGACAAGTAGAACTCAGAAAAAATGTGTCACCATTCTTAGGAGCTGACTAAGATGATGTCTTTAGCAAAATGACAATGAATCAAGAATCCAAACAACAATGGATAAAACTCAGTAAGTAAAGAAACCAGCCCCCCACCACTCTGGATATCAGTTGAGCAGCAAGCCTATGGGAGATGTCAGATCAGGATAGGATGGTTTCATGGAGTAATCCTTAAAATGTGGGGATTCCAAGTGTTTTCATATTATTCCTAAGAGTTTAGAACTCAAGAAAGTGATAAAAATGAGAGAGAAAATCTATTCAAAACATGAAAAAGCAAAGCAAAAAAAAAAAACCTATGCAAAAAAGCAGAATCATCACAGTACTAGTTAATTGAAGAGGGAATAACATTCACCTAATTATAATGATGAAATTTATTTTCTATAATTAATTAATTATTATAATTAATCAATACACAAAATATACACAATGAAATTATGGTTACAATCTTGAGCAAAGATGTTTGTAACTATAAAAATTTAGCAATCACAAAGAGCCAAGTCAATATTGTCTGATGTCAATTGTTAATACAATACAAAGGCAAACTTAAGGTGGGTGTGGTCTCCCATATCTGGAAAAACCAACACAGAGGAGGCACAAGCAGGAGGATTGTGAGTTCAGACTGAAGTACATAAGACCCTGTCTCAAAACGCAAAAATAAAAAGAATCAAACTTCATTAAAGATTAGAAAAGTAACCTCCCAAAATTAAAAAAAAAAAATAGTTAACTACATTGTAGAGAATGGAAATGGAATGGAACAGTATCAGTGACCATCATCTTTATTTGAGACAGCAAGATAAAACAAAAACAACAGTAGAGTCTGTTTTTGTTTTGTTTTGTTTTGTTTGTTTGAGATAAGATCTTACTATGTAGCCCTATGTAGCCCTAGTTGGCCTGGTATTTCCAGAGATTCACCAGCCTCTGCTTCCTCTGCACTGGGTGGGAAGGTGAGATTAAAGGTGTATACCACCATGCCCAGCAATATATTACAATGTCTTTTGTTTGTTTGTTTTTTTAGAGCATTGGTGTTTCGCCTGCATGTATGTCTGTGAGAGGGTGTCAGATCCCCTGGAACTGGTGATACAGACAGCTGTGAGCTGCAATGTAGGTGCTAGGAATTGAACCCAGGTCCTCTGAAAAAGAAGTCAGTGATCTTAACCACTGAGCCATCTCTTCAGCCCCTGATTACTATGTTTTAATGAGAAAATTAATCTATACAAACATTTTAATGAAATATTACAATTCTGAAAAGACTTTTATGGCAGGAAGGGAAGAGTTACATCTCTATGGTAAATGTTTACTTAGTATTAATGGAAGCCTGAGAGTTTATGTAGCAACAGCGAAGTATCTATAAAAATCTCTAAATTTCTTCTCATCTGGTCTTTGTTTTAGAACACACCAGAGAAAAGGAACTAGCAGTACAACACAATTTGGGAAATGTGGAACAAGACTATGGTGATATAGCTATAACAAAGAAACTATATATCTGATTGCAGTTTCCTAGACTTTCACAGTACCCAAACTGATAAAGAAATTCTAATATTTCTTAGAACTATTAGTGAGAAAGAGTTAAAATATAGTAATATTAGTGTCTTACTTGAGAAAAATTAAATGACAGAACAATCAATTCCATGACTAGGCATTAGTCCATCAATAATAACATCTCTGTCATACTTACTCTGAGCTTTTTTGGGCTTGTATGGATTGGAAGCAAGTATAGAGTACCCGACCAGTCTATTAAAAAAAACAGAAAGGAAATGTCATATACAAAAGGATTCATTTTTTATTTATTTTTTCTGAGACATAATATCTGGATATCTTTACAGAGTACATTATAGTATTCAATATACATATACAATGTGTAATAATTGACTCAATATAATAAGCATTTCTATCTTCAATAATCAATCTTTTTTGTTTGTTTTTTGAGACAAAAAGGTGTAGCCTTGGATGTCCTGGAGTTCAATCTCTAGACAAGGCTGTCCTGGAATTTGTAGAGCCTCTGCCTCTCAAGTGCTGGGAGTAAAGGCATGAGTCACCACTGCCCAGTGGACCATTTTTTTTTTTTGTGTTGGAAATTTCATAGCAATTCAGTAGACTCTAACTTAAAACTCAAAGGTTTTTATGGACATCTTAGGCTAAAAGAGATTTGAAAGGTTATAGAATATGCCATAAATAAATCAATTTCCATGAGGATCATATAACCAGTATGAGTTATAGCTAAACATCTTCTCATGAGATAGAATTATTAACAAATATGAGAACCAGGAAAGTGATTAACCTCACTTATTTATGATGATAATAAGCAAATTAAATAGTGACAAAACTAAAAGCATTTCAAAAAATTATAAAGTTCCAGATATTGAATTATACTGTTTCTGGAGAACAGTGAATTTATAGAAAATATTCATTATTAGCACACTTACCTTCTCTACACCAAGATCAAAGCTTTATTATCTTTTGCCTAGATTACTGGCAATATCTTCCTAACTAGTTTCTCTGATGCCATTAATTTCACCCTTTTCACTCCATACCTGTCTAATCCATTCGCAATATAATACCTAGAGTGATTCTATTAATACATAAAGTCACCCTATAATGGCTTCCCATTGAAGAGGCAAAGTGAAAGCCTTATAAGAACTAGTTCCCGTTACATTTTGGGCATCTTTAAGGATGACAAAACCAGAATACTTCCAAGAGATAAAAAGGCTAGTTAAATAGTGCATTGAAATATAAGTATAAAAATTAAGACTGAGGCAAACTAGAATACATTGTCATGGTCTTTCTCTCTCTACTACAGCCACACCATCCCTGGGAATGCCACACTCACCATAGGGTGCTTGCACTTGCTATTTCCTCTGTCAGGGATAATCTTCCCCCCAAAAAATACTCCCTTAACTTCTTCCAATCTTGACTCAATAAGCCTTCCCATTGAAAACTTCCCTGACCATCCTATTAAAATTGCAAAGAGATTTTTCCCTATTCTGTATCTACTCTATGTACAAATACACATACACACACACAAATGTGTATGCACACAAACACACTTATATATACAATACCTTTGTGTTCTTGTCTTCTATGAAACAGGAAAAAATAAGTCCTACAAAGCCTTGATCCATCATTTGGTACATAGCTTGTGTACGAACATCTGAAATATAAATAAAAATATTCTGTTAATAATCTGTATTTAACAGATTTTATTTAGAGATAACAATAATGACTGTTAGTTATCTTGTTAACATTGATATTTTACAGGCAAAATAGGGATATATTGTAATGACAATATGAATGTCAGCGTATTTTGCCCAGTTAAAGAAATATTATGAAAAGTTTGCTATTAAGTAGTAACTAGACTGTTTAGGCCAAGAGTGGCCCTACTACAAAGTGTAGCATAGATTTAAAAAAAAAAAAATTGAAAGCTTCGGCTAGCCCCAAAACTTGATAATTTCCTCTGGACTAGAAGACAGACTTCGGTAATGAAAAAAATATTTCTTAGAAGGAAAAGCGTTTTGATAACCATGTTATGTAACTGAGGGAAAATAAACAACCACTGCAACCTTATAACACTTACCAACATGGGAAGGCCAAACGGTTATATGAGGGTGGGAATGATACCAGCCAACAACTCTCATGGGACGGCCTGTTAGTTCAGCCAACCTGTATGTTTGTCAAGGTATTTTCAAAAAAAGAAAAAAGAAAAAAGAAAAACCCTGATACTTATAATAAAGGCTCAAAATACATAACTAAAGGTGAAATAAGGTTGATGCTCAGAACTTCCAATGTTATTCACTTAAAGTCAGTTCTTTAAATATAACTCATATTTATATTACATTGCCTTACTGCAATTGTGCAAATATTTGGTCACTCAAATCTTTACACTCTACAAAAATAGCTTGTTTAAATCTTCATAATTCATTTATATTTTCAATTTGAGAGTCCTGTCTTCTTTGTCTACTCCCACTTTCAATAAGGAAATATAACAAGTAAATGTGTGTGTGTGCAAGTGCACATGCATATTCATGTCCAGTGGTTCACAACCTTCCTAATGCTGCAATCCTTTAATACAGTTTCTCATGCTGTGGTGAACTCCAACCACAAAATTATTTTCATTGCTATTTTATAACTATAATTTGGTTCTGATATGAATCATAATGTAAGTATTTCTAGAGATAGAGGTTTGCCAAAAGGGTCATGACCCACAGGTTGAGAACCTCTCTCTCTCTCTCTCTCTCTCTCTCTCTCTCTCACACACACACAACACACACACACACACACACACACACACAAATATGTGTGCACTGTAAGGTAGAACAGGGATGCTAGGCAAGTGCTCTACCTCTAAGGAGATACACTTCAAGCCATAATAATTTTTAAAATTTATTTAATTTCTCTATAGTAAGCTGTCAGATGTTAAAAACAGCAAAGTAAAGTGGTTGCTGGGCATACAAAGTCCACAGTTCATTTTCCCACATCCTGTAAAATGCTGCTTAGTTTTCCTACAAATTACCTATATTAAAACACAACCAATGATAGCCATTTTGATGACGTGAAATGGGATCACAACATAATTTTGATTTACATATCCTCGATGACTGGATGTTAAATGCCTTTAAGATATTTATTGGATTGTCATGCTTCTTCTAAAAAGATCTATTTATTTTTAGTTTATCTGCGTGTTTTACTTGCATGTATGTATGTGTACCATGTGTGTGCCAGGTACCCAGAGGTTTCTTCATTTGAGAACATGAATCATGAAAGAGAATTTAATGCTATTTTTCCTAGTTTCAACTTTGTTAGTTTCTTCTTTTTGTATAAATAAGTGAATAAAAATGTAATTGAGGGACTGAGGAGGTTCACTGGCTGCTCTCTCAAAAGGTCTGGGTTCAATGTCTAGCACCCACGTGGCAGCTCACAACTATTTGTAACTCCAGTGCCAGGAGATTTGATACCCTCTTCTGGCCTCCAAAGCATTGCATGTACATAGTACATAGACAAACGTGCAGGCAAAACATTCATGTAATTGATAATGAAAGTTTAAAAAAAACCTAATTGAAGCTC